TGAAAAACCACCATAATACAACATACACCCTAAGATGGCTATAATAATAATAAAACACAGAAAAAAACACATGTTGGTGAGAATGTGGAGAAATTGGAACCCTCTTATACTACTGGTAGAAATATAAAATGGTTCAGCAGATGTGGAAAACATTTGGCAGTTCCTCAATAAGTTAAACTTAGAATTACCGTGTGACCTAGCAATTCTACTCCTAGGTGTATATGTAAGAGATAGAAAACAGGTGTTCAAACAAAAACTTGTACTTAGATGGGCATAGCAACATTATTCATAATAGCCAAAGGTATAAACAACTCAAATATACATAAATGGGTCACTTTATAAATAAAATGTGGCATATCCATAAAAGGAATAGTTTTCAGCTTTACAAAGAGTGAAGTACCGATACATGCTACAACATGAATGAACCTTGAAAACATGATGCTAAGTACACATATGGCGGGGAGAGACAGGGTCTCCACAATTCTTTTGTAAGCTTCAGAACGGTAACTTCAAATCCCTTATTTTTAGCCCGCTGTCAACAATATACCACAATGTAAAGGAAAGAAAATGACCACCAGAATAATCAACAAAATGAATGCTGAATTTATTCCCTTGCCAGATAAGGGAACACAGCCCAGGGAAGAAATTGACTGAATAGTTCACAGAGGCATGTGGGGGAATATGACTTAGAAGAGGGGGGATGATTTTCGTGCCTATGCTAAGTAAGGATAGAAAGTGTGCAGTCTAGGTCTAGGAAGAGTGGAAAGAGTCCATAGTTCTGTACCTTATTGGTTAAGACAGGTCCTGTTGTTGACTACGGATGTTAGTCTGCTCAGACTGCCACAATAAAATACCATGAATCGTGTGGCCTAAACAACATAAATTTGTTTTCTCACAGTTATGCAGTTTAGAAGTCCCAGATCAAAATGCAAGCATGGTTGGTTTTCTGGTGAGGGCTCTCTTCCTGGTTTACAGACAGCTACCTTCTTGCTGTGTCCTCACATAGCCCTTCCTTGGGGCATGTTCAAGGAGAGAGTGTGAAGTGTCTGGTGTCTCTTCTTATAAGGATACTAATTCTGTTGGATCAGAGGCCTCATCTTTCTGATCTCATTTAACTTTACTTTTTTAGAGTCCTCATTTCCAAATACAGCTATCCTGAGGATTAGGGCTTTGAGATAGGAATTTTTTGGAAACACAAACATTAAGTCCATAACAAGGGGTGTTCTCTTAAGTTACCTAATATTAGGTTATTTAAAGTGTCTGAGTAATGCAAGAGGAATAAGTTACATAGATCTGCTATACAACATTGTGCCAATAGTTAACAATGCTGTATTGCACACTTAAAAAAATTGTTACGAAGGTAGAACTCATATTAAGTGTTTTTATCTTGATAAAATTAAAAGTAAAATTAAAAAATTAAAGTCTCTAACTGGACAGACAATGAAGGGGTATGTAAGGTCAGAAAGCCTTGAGACACAGTGGCTCTTAATCAGCAATCTTGGACACCTATATTTATCTCATCTTATGTCATCTTAAGCATTAACAGCAAGATTGGATCTATGAGGTTGAACCATATAATACTGCCATTTCATAGGTAAGACGTGGTCTAACATTGGCAGTTTTTGCGTGTTCAAAATAATGCAAAAGATAAATGAGTCTTAAATGTTTGATTCAAAGCGCGCTTTTTGTTTAGATTGTTAATGTGGTATATGATGTACTCTCAACAAACGTCGTATGTCATACTCGTTGTTAGTCTGTTTTGTGTTGCTATAACAGGATACCACAGACTGGGTAATTTATAATGAACAGAAATTGATTGGCTCTTGGTTCTAGAGGCTGGGAAGTCCAAGATCAAAGGGGTGGCATCTCGTGAGGGTCTTTTGCTATGTTGTTCCACAGCAGAAGGTGAAAGGGCAAGAGAGAATGAGAAAGAGAAAGAGAGTGCAAGGGGGCCAAACTCCCCTTTTTGTGATGAACCCACTCTCAAGATAATGGCATTAATCCATTCACCCCATCCTCAAGGCCTAATCACCTTTTGGTACACCCCACCTCCTAACACTGGGGAGGTGTTGCATTGGGGATTAAGTTTCAATGTACGCTTTTGGAGGGACACATTCAAACCACAGCACTTATCCATAAGGCAGTGCATTATCACGAAAGCTCATGTGCACAAATATGTGACAAAACCCTAAGGTAATAGTTCACGATTTAATATTCAAAAGATTACTTGACTAGATATTAAGTGCAGATTCTGATTCAGTGGGTCCAGGGTGGCTCTTAGTAATCTACATAATAAACAACAGCTGCTGGAGATTCTGAAGCAGGTGCACTTATTACTCTAAGAAACCATGAACATATGGAGTCTTTTGGGCTATTAAGATATTATTTTGAAAAGCCTGAGTAGCACTAATACTAGGAAGCCCTTATATGGAGCTTACTTTGTGCCAGGCACTATTCTAGTATATTATTAATTTAACTTTCACAACGATCCTATGATGCTTGTACTATCACTATTCTTAATTTGCAAATAAAAAGGCAGAGGCCAAATATAAAGCGACTCTCCTGATAACAGGTGGCTAATCAATGGTCGAGCTAGGATTTGAATGCAGTCAGTGTTGGCTCCTCTGCTCACCTGTTTGCCTTCTATCTGACCAACCTTCATCATCTGTAAAGGTCATGGAGAAGTGAGAACTCTGGCTAACCCCATAAACTGGGGTTGCCACACAGCCCACACTGTGACTTTGAACAAGTTGCTTTAACTTCTTTGGCCTCTCTTACTAGTAATAGAAAGGAGTTGGATTTCAAACACTAAGATTTCATGAAGCTATAAATCGCTTACATAAAAATCCGCTGGCCATCTGCGGCAAGATTAACCAGTTTAATGAGACCCTGCTTGATGCCAGACATTGTGTTAAAATTGTATCAGTTAAGCCTTGGGACCTTTTGTTTTAAGTGACAGGGCCAAACTCCAACTTAACTTAAACCAAAAATGGAAGAGGAATTTACTAGCTCGCCAATTGTCTGAGAGACAACAAATTACTAGCTCACCAACTGTCTGAGAGAGAGAATAAATAAACTCAATAGTGTCTCTTCTTAAAAGGGCACTAATCCCTCTCATCATGAGGGCTCCACCCTCAGGACTTAATTACCTTCCAAAGGCCCCATCTCCAAATACCATCACACTAGGAGTTTGGGCTTCAAACTATGAGTTTTGATGGGGGTGGCACAACGTTCATAGCACCCCCACCTTTCAGGTCACCACTTTTTTTACTAGATCTGTTTTACTAGAGGTTAATTTGCATTTCCTAGAACTTTACATGAAGGGGATTATATCAAAGAGTATACACCCTTTTTGTTTGGCTCTCTGACTGCCCATAATTGTTTTGAGACATCCATGTTGTTACATGTATCAAGCTCATTCCCTTTGATGGCTAAGTGGTGTTCCATTATATGGCTGGACCACAGTTTGCTTGTCCATTCACCCAGTGGATGCTTCTTTGACTTGGGAAATCTTTGCCAAGACTGGGAGCCATGTTGTTATGGGTCTAGTCTTCCTATGAGACTTCATGAGGCACTGTGAGCTCTCACTGTCTTTGCTCCTTCATAACCTCAGTGTCTTCCTGCTGAAGACCACCAGGAATGCACCTCAATTCATAGTCTAGGGCTGCTTTCACAAATCATCACAAATGGAGCGGCTTAAAACATCAGAAGTTTATTCTTTCGTAGTTTTGGAGGCCAGATGTCTAAACCAAGTGTTAGCAGGGCTGTGCTCCTTCTTGAGAGTCTGGGAAAGAATCTACCCTTGCCTATTTCAGCTACTGGTGGCCCTAGGTGTGCCTTGGCTTGTGCGACATAAGCCCAATCTCTGCTTCCATCTTCACATGGCCTTATCCTTTGTGTCTTCTCTTTTTCTGTCTCTGATAAGGACATGCATCATTAATGAGATTTAGGGCTCATCGTAATCCAGGATGGTCTTTTGTAGAGATCCTTGCCTCAATGACATCTGCAGAGACTCTTATTCCAAGTAGATCACTCCCTTTACTGGCTTCCTTTGATCTTGCCTTCCATTACTTCCTTACAGCTGGTCCAGTGACAAACTCAGTTTAAGGCTCAATTTCACCAGCTTCTGACCTAAATATGACTTAGGTGGGATACAGAGCATCTGCTCTAGCCCTAGAATAAGTCCTTTCCCACACCCTCTTACAGAGATGCCCCACCATTCCCCATGATGTACATTATTCCTCATTGCAACAAGTATTGAGCCCAATCGGTTCAATTATAGGTGTTGTAGTGGGTTGAATAGCGGACCCTCCTCCCCTGAAAAAGATATGTTTACCAGGAACCTCAGAAGGTAGGTTGGTCAGGCTAGAAGATCAGGGCCTGGTCAGTAGATGCTCTTCATCTTACCTAAATTCCTTTTTTTTTTTTTTTTTTTTTTACAGAGTTTCACTCTGTCACCAGACTGGAGTGCGGTAGCGTGATCCCAGCTCACTGTAACCTCTGCCCCCTGGGGTCCAAGTGATTCTTATGTCTCAGTCTCATGAGTAGCTGGGATTACAGGTATGCATCACCACGCCCGGCAAATTTTTGTGTTTTTAGTAGAGACGGAGCTCCACCATGTTGGCTGGGTTGGTCTCGAACTCCTGACCTCAGGGAATCCACCCACCTTGGCTTCCCACACTGTTGGGATTACAGGCATGAGCCACTGCAGCCAGCCCTAAATTACATTTTGCTTAGGAGTTGGGCAAGATTGAGCTTTCAACTTGGTTTGTCATCGTACCAGCTGCAATAGGGGAGCCAAGGAGGGCAGAAGCAAATGAAGCTACTCTGTGGGAATGAGCAAGAACACTGCTCACCTGGGCTTAGGGCCCTTGTCTGCCTTTGTCTGCCCAAGTCACTGATACCAGTTCCTGGCATACAGTAGATGCCAATTAAATATTTATTGGATGAACAAATGAACATATCTAACTTTACTTCTTTTTCTCCCATTATTCCCATAGGAGGGGCCCCAATGGCAAAGCTGGCATCTTACGGCTCATCAAAGGCGGCTGTGACCATGTTCTCATCAGTTATGAGAATCGAGCTTTCCAAGTGGGGAATTAAAGTTGTTTCCATCCAACCTGGAGGCTTCCGAACAAGTAGGTTTCTGAGCCCAAGAACCTGTGATGTTCATCCTGGAAGGAACCCTGAAGGTCCTCTTGGTGTGACAGAGCACACATTGAACCCCTCAGTGTTGTCAAAGATGAGCACAGCCAGACATCAGTTAAAGTGGTGAAAACAGGTTTGATTCAGTAACTGCTGACTGTAGGGGAAAGAGCTAAGCTCCATTTTGATCTGTGCGAAGGTGTTTTAAACATTTTAAAAGGAGAATGAGGGAGAGGGGAAAGTGGGGCTCAGTAAGTCAGATTAGTGAAAAAGTACAAGGGTCCCTCAGTGTCCATGCAGAGGGGCCAGCTTGGCAATAAAAGAAGTCTAGATTCTGTCTTCCCACAGAGACTGAGAAACAGAGGTCTGATCCTTCTGCATGATTCAATTCCAAAGGAATGGCTCTCAGATCCTGGAGAGAAATGCTTCTGCATTGCAAGAGCTATATATTTACAATTTAAAGTTCTTTTTTTAGTAAGTATTTCAGGAAAGGGAAGTCAGGGACCTCTCAGGGATGTGTTGGCTAGAACAAATAGTAAAATTTTCTGGCAAGACTGAGCCTTCTTAGGCAGGCATTTTAGTGAGGGGCTGCTGTCATCCAAGGGACAGGGCCTTACACTGTTAGAAACCATGCTGGAGTTCGGTTAAGTCTCTTAGTGCAGGGGTTGGGATGGGGTTGTCATGCATACAGAGTTCTCCAGCTCTCAGGGTCCACCCAGCAGGACTTGGGATGAGTGGGCCTCTTCTAAGTGTCAGGCTCTCCATGTATGGCTTCACCCCTGCTTCCTTTCACAAAGTAAATGCTTTGGCTCATAAATCATCAGCAAGCAGAGGCCGCACTGGGTTAGAACCCTGGTCCCCTGGTGCCTGCTCTGAGCAGGTCCTTTCTAGGACACACACTCCCTCCCTCGATGGTAGAGTTGTATTTGGTCTTTGGGAATGCAGCTCAAAAATGGTCCCTAACTGACTCTCACCAATTTTGATTATTTTCATTGCCCCATCTAAACCTGTTTAACAATATATAATCCATTAATTTCATACCAGATTTCTTTATTTAGCTTGAGCGCTTATTTTCATCTAAAAGTTTGAGCAGATACCCGGAGTAACATTTATTAGTCTTTTGTTTCCATTGGCCAAGAAGGTTTCCTTCCCCAGCTTCTTTATATTTCAGAAACAATATTTTTCTCCTTCCCTCTAAACAATATGATCCACGTCCCCTCCACTCCAAGCAGAGATGGTCATTCTCTCCACTCCCCTCCCTGCATATCTGAACTCTGGGCAGAGGCAGCTTACCCCAAGGCTCAGTCTTTAGTTACGGGCCATCAAACATTTCATTGATGATTCAAGTGAAGATATAAAAAGTATGTCTAATAAAAGACCACAGACTAGAAGGTATTGCTAAATGCACTAAAGAACAAACCCTAAAGGTTTGAATGTTATCTCAAATCCAAAAGATAAAATCTACACAGAAACATTGAAACTTTGGCTTGAAACACTTGGTAGCTGAGAACCTCCTAAGGTTGTAGAGGGGGTACAAGACTCAGAGAAAGGGACAGAGACCCAGAGAAAGGGAAATGGGTCACCAGGATGAGAGGCAGGACTGGAGTGATAAAAATGCAGAGAAGATGAAGTCTTGAGAGGGGTTTCCCACTTGGGGACTCCCTGGGTGGGGAGGAGAATTGAGGAGAGGTGATAGAGAAGAGATATGGGTCAGAGGTGAAGCCAAATGTGCTGGTTGAACTGAGAGACTGGGTTACAGAGAGAGGAAAGCCGGTTGACAGCTGGTGGAAGAGGGAAATGGTGAATTTGATTTTGAATCTGGCAGGAGGATTGAGGGTTTGGTAACACAGCCCAAAGAGAATTCCAACACACAGATGTAAAATTCCATTTAGACAAGAGAGCAATCCTGCAGTTAAGTTATGATTTTGGAGATTTAATATAATTGCTATGTATAATAGTTCTGGAGAGCTGTTCTTACCAGGCACTGGGATACCCACTTACCATACATTCTTTACTGATGTTGATCTTATTTTTTAAAATCGAGAAATACATAAACAGAAAAAAGCATTATACGCACATGGTTCAACAAATTATTATAAACACTCTTGTACTTAACACCCAGATAAAAAAAATAAAACATTACCAACACCCAGAAGCCCCTACATGATCCTCTACCATCACAGCCCTCTCCAATTACCCAATAGGTAATCGCCTCTTACTTTTTGTAATGATCATTGATGTGCGTTTCTTTGTAGAGTTATATCCATCCCAATCAATAGCATTTGACTTTAACTGCTTTTGCGCTTTGAATGGAATCAATATGTATGTATCCTTTTGTGTCTGGCTTCCTTCACTAAACATTCTCATTTGACAATTTATCTCCACTGTGTGTAGCTGTAGTCCACTCATTTCATTGCTGTGTAGTATTCTGTGAATATGCCACGATTTTCTACTGTTGATGGCATGTTTGTGTCCCTTCTAGTTTGAACAAGTATGAACCAATGCAGCTATGAACTTTCTGGTACATGTACTTTGTTTTTTTGTGTGCTTGAATTTTCCTATGACACATGCTCCAGAGTGAAGTTGTTACCGGAAAGGGCTCCTGATCCAGAACCCAAGAGAGGGTTTTTGGATCTTGCGTGAGAAAGAATTTGGGGTGAGTTCATAGAGTAAAGTGAAAGCAAGTTTATCAAGAAAGTAAAGGAATAGGGCCAGGCGCGGTGGCTCAAGCCTGTAATCCCAGTACTTTGGGAGGCCGAGACGGGCGGATCACGAGGTCAGCAGATCGAGACCATCCTGGCTAACCCAGTGAAACCCCGTCTCTACTAAAAAATGCAAAAAACTAGCCGGGCGAGGTGGCGGGCGCCTGTAGTCCCAGCTACTCGGGAGGCTGAGGCAGGAGAATGGCGTAAACCCGGGAGGCGGAGCTTGCAGTGAGCCGAGATCCGGCCACTGCACTCTAGCCTGGGCGACAGAGCGAGACTCCGTCTCAAAAAAAAAAAAAAAAAGGAAGTAAAGGAATTAAAGAATGCCTATTTCTTAGGTATAGCAGCAGCATTGACTGCTTAACTGAGTATACTTATAGTTATTTCTTGATTATATTCTAGACAAGGGGTGAATTATTCGTGTGTTTTCTGGGAAAGTGGGAGGGATGACCAGGAACTGTGGGTTCCTCCCCCTTTTAGACCATGCAGAGCAACTTCTGGACATTGCCATGGCATTTATAAACTGTCATGGTGCTGGTGGGAGTGTCTTTTAGCATGGTAATGCATTATAAGTAGCATATAATGAGCAGTGAGGATGACCAGAGGTCACTTTTGTCACCATCTTGATTTTGGTGGGTTTTGGTTGGCTGCTTTACCACATCCTGTTTTTTCAGCAGGGTTATTATGACTTGTATCTTGTGATACCAATCCTGCCAACCTCCTATCGAATCCTGTGATTAAGAATGCCTAACCTCCAGGGAATGCAGCCCAGCGGGTCTCATTCTCATCTTACCCAGCCCCTATTCAAGATGGAGTTGCTCTGGTTCAAATGCCTCTGAAAGAATGACTAGATCATAGTTTTCCTGGCTTCAGCTTTACTGAATCATACCAACCTGCTTTCTAAAATATTGCTCCAATTTATACCTCCACCTTTTCTATGTATACTCCAATCATCACAACTTTGAGGAGCAGGTTTCGTTGACATTATTCTCCTGGTGATGGTGCTGAGCTGGGGTGGATAACATGCCCTAGGGTGGGGATCTGGTACCCCACGTACACCGTGATGGTGGGAAATTTGAGATCAGATCCCGAGATGCAGTGCCTGGGTTCTTCCTTTTATATCAGGCTGCCCCCAGTTTAAAGCTATTTGATGAGCTCTCTGAAGGCAAGAAGCCCAAGAGCAGAAGGCAGAGAACTCATGTTTGGAGAATGACACTTCATACTTATACTTATTTGAAGGTAGGGGCAAGAAAAGGAATCTTTAGGGACACAGACAAGGAGCTTCTGAAGACATTCTAGAAGACATTCTAAAAGGCATTCCAGATTTTTTTGGTGCCCTGAAATAAGATAGCAAAATTATATTGCATGCTAGATTAGCAGATTTTAAGTGCTTTATGTGCATTATCTCCCTTAATCCTCACCTATGAAGTAGGCGTCATAATATCCCCATCTTGCAGTGAGAAAATGGAGACTCAGAGAAGTTAAGGAAGTTCCAAAGCCATAGAGCTGATGGGAGGCAGAGATGGGATTTTGATACAGGTCATATCAGTAACTTCATTGTGTGTAGCACCAAAGTAGCATGGGATGGATGGGTAGGGCGAGTGTGTCAAAAGTGGGAGATGATGATGGACTGATGGCAAAAGACTGATGGCTTTGTCACTCACAAAAAGAGCTTTGGGGACTCTGGATAGGGTACCCACAAGAGTGGCCAGAAAGTCCATGAGGTGTTTAAAGAAGGAGGAGGCGGAAAGCAAAAGGAACCCCCAGCCTATGAAGACAGGGACAGAGAGAGGTAGCAGGAGGAATACTAGCTCACGAAAACATAATTTTCAGGACCTAAAAGCCTCCAGAGTAATTATCAGGATAATAATTTCTTTAAGCACAGTGTGTGCCTTCCTGAAAAGAAAGGAGCAATTGAAACTTCGTTTGCATTTCCATGAGTATAATTGGATTTTACTGGCCCACATTTCCAAGTAAGCACCCCTCCTTCTCCGCAGTCCTGATATCCAGGAGTCACCCAAGCTAGCAAGGGCTCATCCCCACAGCTATCTGAGCAACCAAACACTTTGCAGGAGCGAGCGAGGGAGACTGCAACCTTTTTGGAAAGTAATCTGGCAGTAGCTATTAAAATTCAAAATGAATGTGCCTTTGACCAGGCTGTACTTTGAGGATTCTTGCCTATAGAAGTAAAGCCAACGTACAAACGAATAGGTTGTGAAAGTCTATTTACTGTGGCAGCGCTTGCAATGCTGAAACCTATAGCAACAACTGGAAGGTCGTTGGATAGGGAAGTGGTTGGCTAAAAGCTGTTCAATGGGAAATTCTCTTGCTCTGGTTTAATCTATAGACATTGATGAGAAGGGAGGTCTGTGATTTATTACTAAGTCAAAACAAATTCATGGAAAATATAAATACTATAGTATGACCCTTTTTGTTATTGTTATTTCTTGGTTTAAAAAAATAAACCAAATTCTTCTATGTGTATGTGTGTTTGTATGGACAAGGAAGGAATATAGAAGGGCACACAAAAGTGTTAGTTATCATAGAGGAGATTAATTTTTAAAATACGCACATCTCCTTATTATTCACTTTATATAATGAGGAGGCAGAGCTGCTACATTTTAAAGTAAATAAATTATTTAATTTTATATAATAAGCAGGTATTGCCTTTATTTAAAATATATATTTATACTTAATTGTACGTAATTTGCATATTAAAATTAAAATATATGTGTAAATTATATTAAAATTACATTTAATATATTTTTAAAAACATCAATGAAAAGCATATCTATTAAATAGATTAAATTTTTTAAATCCCATATTTTATTTATTTATTTATTTATTTAGAGACAGAGTCTCATTCTGTCACCCAGGCTGGAGTGCAGTGGTGTGATCTTAGCTCACTGTAACCTCTGCCTCCTGGATTCAAGCAATTCTCCCTGCTTCAGCCTCCCAAGTAGCTGGGATTCCAGGTACCCACCACCATACCCAGCTAATTTTTGTATTTTTTAGTAGAGACAGGGTTTCACCGTGTTGGCTATGCTGGTCTTGAACTCCTGACCTCAGGTGATCCACCTACCTGGGCCTCCCAAAGTGCTGGGATTGCAGGCATGAGCCACCGTGCCCAGCCTAAAATCCCGCATTTAATTTTAAATATGAAGGTAGACATTACTTCTATATTAAAAAAATTATATGTGTATATGTTTATATGAGTGTATATATACTATATTATATACAGTATATATTATATTGTAGACATTACATGATATATTATACATGTAATAGTCACCAAAAGACATGAGTGTTTGTGGCAGCAGCATTGGTAAAGGCCCAGTTGAAAACAAGCACAGTGTCCATCACAGTATAGCGGCTAAATAATTCGTGGCATTTTGATGCAATGGAATACTATGCTGAAAGGAGAACCAACACACATAACATAATGTTGAATAAAGAAGCTGATGCTAAACAATGAGTACTATTCATATGCTTCAATTTATATAATGTTCAAAACCAGCCAAAATGAATCTATCCTGTTAATCAGGAAAATGGTTACTGAGAAGTGGGCTGAGAGGAGAGACTTTCAAGGCTGGTCCTGTTCTGTTTTTTTTTTCCCCCTTTTTCTTTTCTTAAAATTGGAGTGTAGCTCTGTTGCCCAGGCTGGAGTGCAGTGGTGCAGTCATATAATGGCTCACTGCATCCTCCAACTTGTAGGCTCAAGGGTCCTCCTGCCTCAGTCTCTCGAATAGCTGGGACTACAGGTGAGCACCATTGTGCCCAGCTAAATTTCTGTCTATATGTCCATGTCTATGTATACGTGTGTGTGTGTGTGTGTGTGTATGTGTGTGTATGTGTATATATATATGTATTAGAGATGGGATCTCGCTGTTGCCCAGGCTGATCTTGAACTACCAGGCTCAAGTGATTCCCCTTCCTGGGCCTCCCAAAGTGCTGAGATTACAGATATGAGTCACTGTGCCCAGCCCTGTTTTGTTCTTGATCTGTTTGCTGGTCACATGGGCTACCAGTTTGGAAAAATCCAATCATGTGTGCACTTTTCTGTATGTAGGTTTAGAAGTGATAATAAATGCCATTATAAAGCACACATTTTAAAAGGCATTTGCAGGCCGGGCATGGTGGCTCACACCTGAAATTCCGGCACTTTGAGAGACCGAGGTGGGCAGATCACTTGAGGTCAGGAGTTCAAGACCAGCCTGGCCAACATGGCGAAACCCCATCTCTACTAAAAATGCAAAAATTAGCTGGGCATGGTGGTGGATGCCTGTAATCCCAGCTACTCGGGAGGCTGAGGCAGAAGAATAGCTTCAACTCTGGAGGCAGAGGTTGCAGTGGGTTGAGATCACACCACTGCACTCCAGCCTAAGTGACAGAGCAAGACTCTGTCTCACAAAAATAAATAAATAAATAAATGGCATTTGCAAAGGCCCATCCTTCCCAACAGAGACGAGCGCCTGCTCCCTGACTTCTTTGGCTTTCCCAGGATCTGACTCTTCCTTTCCTTTCGCCCCAGGTATCGCAGGCACGAGTGACAAGTGGGAAAAGCTGGAGAAGGACATTCTGGACCACCTACCCGCTGAGGTTCAGGAAGACTACGGCCAGGACTACATCTTATCGCAGAGGAATTTCCTCCTATTCATCAACGCGGGGGCCAGCACAGACTTCTCTCCGGTGCTGCGGGACATCCAGCATGCTATCTCGGCGAAGAGCCCCTTTGCCTATTACACGCCAGGGAAAGCCGCTTACTTGTGGCTCTGTCTTGCTTTCTATTTGCCTATTGGCATATATAATTACTTTGCTGAAAGAAATTTTGGCAAAGACGAGCCCATGCCCAGAGCTCTAAGCATGCCTAACTATAAGAGGAAGGCCACCTAGGCAATGGAAGACCTCAAAGAAGTGGGAATGTCATAGTCTTGAAATGAAAAGGAAACTGGGTTTCTCATTAAAGTTGTTTCCTACTCTTCATTCTCTGTGAAATTCATTGATTGAATAGTACTTTGTAATGAGAAGGCTGCAGAGTAGCAACAGCCTCATGGAGAATGTTAATAGAGCTCCTACCTCCAGCCTGGGCTACAGAGCGAGACTCCGTTTCAAAAAAAAAAAAATAGAGCTCCTACTATGCACCAGATACATTGCAGATATTCTTTCATCTAGTTCACATCAGAGAATTGAGGTGGGTATCTTTGCCCCTACTTAATATAATCGGAGAGATTTCTTGTCACATGCTAGCAAAAGGCAGGGCCAGAATTCAAATCCTGGGTTGAACTCCACTGCCTGCCAAGAGAAGAAGAAGAGAAAGAGGGAGATGAGGAGAAAGAGAGAGGGAAGGGAAGGAGGAGGCAGAAATGGCAAGGGCAACAGTCTAATGGATCCTCCAAGTCTTCCTCACTGTGCATTGATATTCTGTAACTACTACACCCAAGGTATTGGATTCACGGTAAATCGTCAGGGCTTCGTTCTCTTCCTTCCTCTTTTTTTCCTCTACAAGGAGCTCTGGAGACAATAGGATAAGGTCTCCCATCTCAAACAGAACCCAGGAGACCTCTTGGCAGATCTAGGGAATGTGGCTGACTGGTTTAGGGCCCATAGTAACCATCACTGTTACTCTGTTACCCCCATCTGAGCATACCGGGATGGAAAAGTCAATACCATTACCTGGAAGAGCTTAGTGGAAGGGAGCAATGTCAGATAATTATAGAGGTATGGCCAAAGTCAGTTGGGTGTGGCAAAAGGGGAGGAGCTGGTGAGCAGAGGGTGCACAAAGAAAACCAGAATACCTTGCTCATTGCAAACCTCTCTGTTCCATTTCCTTTCTAGAATGTGGAGACTCTTTTTCTGTTTTCCTTGGCGATTTCATGAGAGTATATACCATGACACTGCTCTGCAATTTTCTCTCAGAGAAAATAATAAATAGCCATATAGCAAGATAAATACTTATAAAATACTAACACGATATGTTTTTAATGGCTAGTCATAGTGACAGCCCAGTGGCTCTCCACCATTCTTTCAGAGCAGAATGGAAAGAAAAAAAAATCCGTCTAAATGTTGATTTCCCTAATAGGCACTTTCTGGGGATAAGCGTTGTTGAAGCCAACACTTCTATTTGCATGCTTCTAGCACTGTTGAGAGAACAAGTGATTTGTTTAGCTTATAGTCCAAAGTTTGGAAGAGCACTGGGGATGGCGTGCTTCCCTGAAAGCCAACAGTCCTCAAAGAGTGATCCCTGGACCTGAATCATTAGTATCACCTGAGACTATTAGAAATGCAGATTCTCAGGAGCCACCCCAATTCTGTATTATATTCCTATGGCTGCTATAACAAATTACCACGTATGTAGCAGCTTAATACAGCATAAAGGCATGACCTTACAGTTTTGGAGCTCAGAATTCTGAAATGGGTCTTACATCTTTTACTATTTCTGATGGTGTCTATGGTTCAACATTTTTTATTGCCACAGGCTTCCACAGACTCCACGTCATTATCAGATCAACATTCCTCATTATCTGCCTTATCTGCCAATTATTACATCACTTTACATCCAACCACCATTTCGGCTTTGAAGCCGCTGCCTGATATTGACACTTTGTAGATGTAGTCTGATTGTTTCTATATATTTCTATCTACTGATGAGGATCCTATTCTTTTAGTATAATCAGTACAGTTGACTTCCAATCAACTAGTTTCGATAACATTCGAAAAAGAATAATTAACCTGTTACTAGCCTTAGCAACTAACACCCTACTAGCCCTATTCCCTCCATGAAGTAGGTGCTATTCTCATCACAATTTTTAGATAACACAACAGACTTAGAAAGTTAACTTGTCCAAAGTCACACACTTAGGACATAGTGGAGTTGAACAAAATTTTTCATCTGAACTTGTTCATCTTCAATTTTTAAAAAGTAGCAATTATGCAGTGGTTAAAATCAAGTGTTCAGCAGACCTGTGTTCATTCTGGAGACTCCAGGGAAGACTCCATCTGTTGCCTTTTCCAGCATCCAAAGGCCTGCATTCCTTTGCTTATGGCAGCACCACTCCAATCTCCTCTTCCATTGTCACATCTTTTCTGATAGACTCTCCTGCCTTCTGCTCATAAGGCCTTCCTGATTATATTGGGCCTACCCAGATAGTCCAGTGGAATCTCCCAAAGTCAAGATCTTCAATTTAATCACAACTGCAAAGTCCTTTTTGCCACGTAAGATAATGTATTCACAGGCTTTGAGGATTCGTGCAACATTATCATTGTTAAGAACTGTATTAGTCCATTTTTGCACTGCTATAAAGAAATACCTGAGACCAGGTAACTTATAAAGAAAAGAGGTTTCATTGGCTCACAGTTCCACAGGCTGTACAGGAAGCATGGATAGGAAGGCCTCAGGAAACATACAATTATGGCAGAAGGTGAAGGAGAAGCAGGCACATCTTCACATGGCCAGAGCAGGAGGAAGAGAGAGTGGCGGGGAGGTACTACACACTTTTAAACAACCAGATTTCACAATAACTCTCTCACTATCACTAGAACAGCACCAAAGGGGACATCCAACCCCATAATCCAATCATCTTCCCCCAGGCCGCACCTCCAACATTGGAGATTACAATTTGACATAAAATTTGGGTGGGGACACAGGTCCCAATCATATCAAAGACCATTGTCCTACTGACCACAGCTACTGAATCAGAAACAGGGTTGGAGCCAGCAACCTGTGTTGCAAGGAGCTCTCCAGGTGATGCACACCCCCATTTGAGAACCACTCCTCCAAGTCGTGGAGTGAGCAGGCTGCGGGGTATGTGCTCAGGCTACAGAAGAAGTGGGGAAGACTCTTTGAAGACAGTGAGAGACATCAAGAGAGCTGAGATGACAGCGTGGGATCTATTCTCTTCTGTAGCTTCCCAAGGGTTGAAAACTCTGTGAGCCATCAGGAGAAGGTGCTGAATAGACACCCCCATGGGTCTGAGAATCCCAGATCAGAGAAGCTCATATTGGGTTCCCTGAAGAAGGGCTTCCACATGATTTTGGGGTTACCTGGGAGCAAAATAAACCACAAGATGTTCTATTTAGCCAGAGAAAGATTGACAACCTCTCATGCCACCCCCACTGTCAGAGTCCATTTGGGCTGCTGTAAAAAAATACCATAGACAGGACAGCTTCTACACAACAGAGAGTTATTTCTCACCATTCTCAGGGAGTCCAAGATCAAGATGCTGGCAGATTTGGTGTCTGGTAAGGGCCTGCTTCCTGGTTCATAGACTTTCATCTTCTTGTATCCTCAGATGGTGAAACAGGTGAAGGATCTCTCTGGGATCTCTTTGATAAGGGCACTAATCCCATTCATGAAGGCAGAACCTCCCAAAGGGCCCACCTCTTAAGGGGATTAGTATTTATTTATTTATTTATTACACTTTAACTTCTAGGGTACATGTGCACAACGTGCAGGTTTGTTACATACGTCTACATGTGCCATGTTGGTGTGCTGCACCCATTAACTCGTCATTTACATTAGGTATATCTCCTAATGCTATCCCTTCCCCCTCCCCCGACCCCATGACAGGCCCTGGTGTGTGATGTTCCCCTTCCTGTGTCCAAGTGTTCTCGTTGTTCAATTCTCACCTGTGAGTGAGAACATGCGGTGTTTGGTTTTCTGTTCTTGTGATAGTTTGCTGAGAATGATGGTTTCCAGCTTTATCCACGTCCCTACAAAGGACATGAACTCATCCTTTTTAATGGCTGCATAGTATTCCATGGTGTATATGTGCCACATTTTCTTAATCCAGTCTATCATTGATGGACATTTGGGTTGGTTCCAAGTCTTTGCTATTGTGAATAGTGCCGGTTGTTGGGACACAAACATTCAGACCTTAGCCTCCATCATGACTCCTTTGGCTTTGAGTGGGAGTGAGGAGATCTGGGAAAAGCCAACTGGAGCTCCTCAGGAGAGTAGGGAGCAGAGCTTGGAAGAATCAGGGTGCTGGCATGTGGGTCGGGAAACACTGTAGCAGAGGCCACTGGGTGTGGGCAGCCTTGAGCCTGGGCCAAAGTGACGATGAGAAATCCCAACTGGAAGATAAGACAAATGCTCTTTCCCCAATGCCAGGAGAATACACCAGTCCCTACAGATCTAGATCCTGAGGAAAAGAGCAAGGAAAACAGAAGGAGGAGGGAAGAGAATCTTGAATTTAGCTTCAAATGTATCTGTTTTAAAGCAGAAGAGACAAGGTTGCCTGAATGCACTAATAAAGGTTCAAATATATTTCACTTTAGAGCAATACATACAGTTTCTCAAAAAACAAAAGAGACAAGTGTTACATACAAAATACCTTCATGCGTTGACCATGTCTACACAGTAATTGATGTCCCTGATTTACTGTAAGAAACCAGTAAGAGCCAAGGGCAGAGTGAAGCCCTCCACACATCCACAATTCACTGTATTCCTGGGGGAAGGCATGATGAAACGGTGGTTCAACAACAGGACTCCTGGCTGAAAGAATTTCCCCTTTCCTAGTCCTGCTGTCTTGCTCAAGGGTAGGATACAAAGTGCCTTTACTACTTGGCTATACAACATCACCTGCAAAACCCACCCACCCTCTTTTTCTCTTCCCTTTCTCTGTTTTCCCAGTGCTGCCAGCAGGAAAATGGACCATCCTCACAGCAGACCCAGGATAAGTCAGGAAAAGCATCCAGTGAAAATATGATTTCTTTTATTACACAGGGAGTCGATAAAAGGCCTACAAACAAATTCTATTATATTATTGGAATAGAACATTAAATTTCATCAGTTTCATTATACTAGTGATAAAGACCATGTTCTGGAATGCCATTCTGGATGTCTGGATGGTGTAATTCAGAGAAAGAGAAATTCCATGCAAAAGGCTCTGATGGGGTGGTTGTAACTCCTGCCCAGTAAAAGTCTCTAGTCCAACCTACATACAATGCTCCATGCAGGGGTTTAGGACTCCCGAACACACCCG